GTTTGTAAGTGTATTATTATTGTAAAGTGTTGTCTGTAAGTGTATTATTTTATTAGAAAGGCATTGTTCAGTTGAGGTATTATTAGAAAGGTATTGTTCAGTTGAGGTATTATTAGTAAGGTACTATTCAGTTGAGGTATTATTAGAAAGGTATTGTTCAGTTGAGGTATTATTAGTAAGGTATTGTTCAGTTGAGGTATTATTAGAAAGGTATTGTTCAGTTGAGGTATTATTGGAAAGGTATTGTTCAGTTGAGGTATTATTAGAAAGGTATTGTTCAGTTGAGGTATTATTGGTTATAGTTGTAACTAGATATTTACAGTTTCGAACATTATTTTATATATTTTTTTTAGGAAGGTATTGTTAAGTACTTGAGAATGGGGGTCGTCGAATAAGTTCTTAGTTGTTTAATCACGTCTGTAGGTTTGCGTGGCTTTATCTCCAAGCCGTTTAGGAACTGATATATTTCCTACTTCGTGTTTGGTTTATCAACGTATTTAGAAATGTTTTTATTTCCAATCTTCCAAAATTTAAAACCGAACTTTTGATACCGTTGTTCACTACAGCGACTTACTTTACGTATTTTTTTTTGCAGATCCAACGGCCTCGTGATGCACACCGCCCTGCTCCCCGACTCCCTAGCTTGCCCCTGTCACGGTGTGTCCGCACTCACTGTGCCTCCTTTTCTCGACCCCTGGGGTCGCCTCAAGCTCGTGGAATCCTGGTCTCACGGAGACGAAGTTATCGCACTGTCATCGGAACCAACCTCAATGGTTGCCACAGAACCAGTTCTGCCTAAAGGTAACCATCTTATGGTGTTCTCTACTGTTTAACTTCTTCTGAACTGACATGCGCATAGCAAGCAGATTTCATGCAGAAACATTGAAACTAAGATCATTCTAGAGAAGAATTTTTGACACAACGATACACTTTTATAATAAAGGTATTGTTCAGTTGAGGTATTAAAAAAGTAACGTTTTCTCTCGTTGAGAAAGAAATTGATGTCACATTATTAGATTTTGTTAATTTTTTTTGTTGTTGTTGTTGGATTTGGCGCAAAGTGAAGACTAATTTTGAAGTGATATACAGTAATTATGTTCGTAGGAAACACATTAATAAAGAAATGAAAATATTACATGTTCTTGGAATAAGTTACGTGTCAAGACAGATGGTTAACTTAAACACCGCAAACATAGAGGTAAGGCGACGGATACAAACTTGTTTGGGAATATTTTTTTTCGCGCTTTTTACTTAAATGCAGTACAAATATTAACACGAGTGTGATTAGCTGTGCATTTTGCTAGTCAGACATTTTTACTGTTTGCTAAAACTAAATTATTATAAACGAAAAAAATTAAATATAATTGAGTTATGCGCTCTGTTACCAACATTATTTGAAAAAAAAATGTATTTTAAGTCATCTGATGTATCGTGATATTGTGTTTTATCGGTGACGCTATTTATTTGTGTAGCATATTGTCGAATATTTTGAAATTTGTAGGTGACGCTATGTATTTTCGTAGCGTTTTGTCGTCGAATTAGGCCTAGTTATATGTTCTGATTTTGATGAATAATTTAGCGGATATTTAAATAAATCTAAGCAGTCTTTAAAAGTACATGATAAATCTTGTATCAGAGTGAGTAAAGAGAAAAACGGCGTGTTTGTGGTACGCTTAATTTCATAAAATATATTTTTTTATTCCTGTCCCGCATCGAATTAGTATTGTAGTATTAGATATGTAGCCTTAGTTTCGCTATGCATCAAATTTTGATGCTGATGGTTAGGTTTAGCTTATTTCCAAATATGCTTTTTAACAACAGTCTCAAATGCACGTGCTGATAAGACAGTGTGTAAGGCGAAGAAATATTAGTCCCTTCTAAGTGCTTGTAACTAGTTTCAATACCAGCGGCGGGCAGAACACAGATAGCCTATTTTGTAGCTTTGTGCGTAACAACAAAACAAATCTTGTGTCCATTTCAATGGCTTGTGGCACATGAAACCCCAGTGCTCGAGCGTAAATAGATGACCAACTCAGGATTGGCAGATGTTTCAATTTTGAACAATAATGCTGAAAATGAGGACTGAAAGAACGAGGCGGTTGGTACAGAGTATGAAGCCGACTAAGCGAAAGTGACGTTTTTTACGACGCGTTGCTTGGAAACGTTTGCATCAGTTGAATAATCTCGTGTGATTGGCTGGAGATAGTGGCGATCCACGTCCTTATTTATAGCCTTACTTGTAAGTGCCACAACATATATACATATCCTATATAAACTAATGTCCATAAACGTTGAAGATGTACAGTGTCTTGCGCAACGCAGAACTATACAGCCTTAATTAGTTAATGTAACAGTGATTGATGGCTATCACAAACACCGAATATTATCTTGTATTCCCCAAACGTGTTTTTGCTATGATTATCGGGTGGCAGTACACAACAAAACCAATGCGTTATCCGGGTCCTAAACACTTAAAGTTGCTCAATTCAGATTGGTTAGTTTTTACCCTCAAGATGACATACACGCACAGCAGTCACGTGCCAGACAAATATGACGCGCGTGCAGGCAGGTGTGTGACGCGTGCTCAGCGTCGTTTTGTTGTCTGTAAAACACGTTTTTTGATGCGTCAGCTGCTTTTCGGCGTCCGAAACTTGGGAAAAGAAGAGGCATTTCCCAATGGTCACGTGGGGATCCCCTAGGCACCAACAGCTGTTTCTCGTGCGCAAAGCGGTGTTTGACTTAACAGACGACACAGAGCAAGATATATTACTGTCTCACTTCTCAAACTTGCACGTAAGTTGCAGTGGACTAGCTAATAAAACTAGATGATGTATGTGTAAAGGAAAGCTTATGTTTTAAGATGGTTTCGATAAATCTCTGTATGTGTTAGGTTTGATGCTGAAAAAAATAAAGAAACAGTCAACCTAGGTAGTTAGGTCTATTACAGCTTCGGACACGAGGCTGAGAAAGGTATTGTTCAGTTGAGGTATTATTAGTAAGGTATTGTTCAGTTGAGGTATTATTAGAAAGGTATTGTTCAGTTGAGGTATTATTAGTAAGGTATTGTTCAGTTGAGGTATTATTAGAAAGGTATTGTTCAGTTGAGGTATTATTAGTAAGGTATTGTTCAGTTGAGGTATTATTAGAAAGGTATTGTTCAGTTGAGGTATTATTAGCAGCTGCTATCACAATGCGAGTATTGTTAAATTAAAATTTTTTCTTATTCTTACATTGAAGAACGTAAGATTCGATATCACATGAAACGTAACAAGTAACAGAAGGGCTTTCTTTGACACGGGAAACGAACTCGTGAAAGGTCAGTCAGCTTCCTTTGTTGGCTCTCAAGCTTGCAAAGCTTTGTTTTAGTTGGTCACTCAAGCAACACCAGTTCATCAACACAAAATTCCCAGGATTATCTCGAATATTCAAAACGTGTAAATTAGCAGCAAATAGTTACTTCTATCAACAACCATAAACAACAACAACAGTGGAGAGACAAAACTGCTTGTAACGTTGAAAATATTGTAAGTTGACCATAAAAACATCACATGTCGAACGATCACTTGTTTTAAGACTAAACATTAACATTACTGTTTAATACCTTTCTTTCCGAAAGGGACCGAATAAGAATTACAGTGTTTAAAAATACAAGAAAAAGTCTGATGCTCTTACAAAGATAATTGGTTATAACCATAACAATCATTCATCTTGCTCCATTGGTACTTTACACAGCGTATAGGTATTCAATTGTAATGAACTGATCCTGTTTCTCGAGTTTCGCAACGTTTCTGTCCACGTGCCTTGTTTCTCGAGTTTCGCAACGTTTCTGTCCACGTGCCTTGTTTCTCGAGTTTCGCAACGTTTCTATCCACGTGCCTTGTTTCTCGAGTTTCACAACGTTTTTATCCACGTGCCTTGTTTCTCGAGTTTCACAACGTTTCTGTCCACGTGCCTTGTTTCTAGAGTTTCACAACGTTTCTGTCCACGTGCCTTGTTTCTCGAGTTTCACAACGTTTCTGTTCATGTGCCCTGTTTCTTGAGTCTCACAACGGTTCGGTCCATGTGCCCTGTTTCTTGAGTTTCACAACGGTTCGGTCCACGTGCCCTGTTTCTTGAGTTTCACAACGGTTCGGTCCATGTGCCCTGTTTCTTGAGTTTCACAACGGTTCGGTCCATGTGCCCTGTTTCTTGAGTTTCACAACGGTTCGGTC